GAAAATCCTTTTACCCCTCATTTTTTCATGATTTGATAATTTTTCTTTTCTTAAAGTAGATACAGGTGCACAGGCAGGAGCAACATGAAATGAATTATTTAACCCAAACGTGAAAGGTGAACGAAGATGGTCTATGTCTCACGATTTTAATGCTCATGTGGAAAATGAAGTTTGAGAAAAAGTTGCTCATTGTTTTTGTCAGTCTTAAATGTTCATATAGCTTTTTTATAGCTCTGATTGTTTTAGCACATTGAACCAATTTAAAGGTGTTATATTCAGATCAAACCCATTCTCATCTGGAAAAGTTCCCATGGGGGTTTGATTGGTGAATTAACGTTTTATAAAGCCATGAATGCATGTGTTTGACAAAAAAAAAACTAAAAGAACCATTGTTCCCTGAATGAGAGACCAAGTCTCAGGGGATAAGAATGGAGTGGGCTAATAACTGGAGGCTTCAGGAAGTTTTATTGTCGGCCGACACTGTATTTAGTCAGTGCAGGGTGGAGTGAGAGGGGAAATACTGGACCCAATGTGAATGTCATTTACAGCCACTCAATGACAATCTGTATTTATCTTTGCCAGACTTTGTTCATCTCTATTAAGTGACTTATTTTTCAGCTTTGAGGCAGTTCACTTGTCTCTAAAGCGTCAAAATTGTAGATTTGTCTTTGACACAACCATAGAAAAGGATTCAAAAAGACATAATACAAATAACATGTTTCAGAGTTTTACTCCTCCCTCGGGTCACTCCTATCTCTCTGAGGGCAGTAGAAATTCCAACTTCAAAGACTGGTACATATATATTGGTAATTGTCCAGATGACAGCTTTTGAAACCTTCTACATTCGTAAGTACTACCCACGACATCTGTGGATAATAGGTTTGACATCTCCTGCATGCTTTGCTCAGTAAACGAGACAGTCAGGTCTCTGTCCGATCATGGGCTCATGATGACTTCACTCTTCACAATGTTCAGAGATGAGCTCAAACCCACAATAAGAAACATCTTTCTTTTTGTGTCATAGGAGGAAGTGGGAGATTACAGGGTTTGGGATAAACAGGGTTACATAAGTCGATGGCTGCAAAAGTTTCAGCACAAATCCAGGTCAGAGAAACAGGCAGTGACAGGAAAACGCTTTCAGAACCGTGAGGAAGATGAGGAGGGAGGTGATCAGTGATCACAGTCGGGGTTGATGACACAATAGCAAAAAAAAGAATAGATCATTGAGCAACACACCCCAACATCTGTCCACCTGAAAAAGGCTTATTGCACAGAAGGCAAAGCAAGTTTAATTGTAATGCAAAGTTCATACACAAGGTTCATAACAAAGACATGAATCATGCAAGGCTTGATGCTTGTCCAGCACTTTGAATTTTTTTTTAAGAATTCCAACCTTAAACTCTGAGCCGTCTGTGTGAAACCAGACAGACTTTACTCACAGTGTGCAAGGAATATACAAGTTCTGGAGCAGGACAGGTAAAAAATATGGACTAAACATGGACTACCAAAAATGTGATGACAACAGGACTGCTTCAAATGCAAAAACCTGTTCATATACAAACAAAAAGAAAAACCCTTTCCTACGCTTACACATGATGGCTGTATTTTAGAAGCCGCTTTTCCCCACGCCACCTTTTTACTTGGTAATTGACAGCCATATCTTCTTAAACATTGAAGTATTATGTTGATTTTCTAGAGTAATAGTAGTTTTGGGGATATTTTTGTTTTTTTGGTGGTTTACACTTTCAACTTTTGTTGTGAAGCTTAAAATAAAATGATCCCAAAAAGCAGGACTACAAACATGATTTAACAAAGGCAAAATTCAGTAAAATTACAAAACATAACCAAACTGATTGTGAAGACAAAAACTGTTTGATTCTCGGATCTGTGTTGGCGAATTCAACGATTGTGTAAAGTCCTCAGGGATAAATATACTGTTGTGATTTAGGACTATACGCAAATAAATTAATTCGAATTGAATTGAAAACAAAGTGACGTTGAAATGACAATGACGGAACAGGGAGTGATGGACAAGCCCCGGAGATCCAAGATGTCGCCGTATTCAAATGAATGGTTGGTGCTCAGTGGCGCATGTGCCGGCCCGGTCGCTGACATATTAGCAGAACTTGCCATATCACTCGCTGTATTTGGGCATCATTTGGTCCTCCCGGTTCTGCGCAGTGGATGATCTCCCATAATGCGTTGCGCCAAACACGCGTGTGTGGGTCTCACACCGGGTCTCACGCACGAGCACAGAGGGGCTCGGCCGCGCTCTGACCAATCAGAGCGGGAGTTAGAGCCAGAGCCAGACGAGCAGAGTTTGTGGCAGTAAAGTGTGGATTTAAACAAAACCAAAGGATTTAAGAAGAAAAAAAGTTCAGGATGATAAGGGATACTAAAATCCCCACAAAATCAGACCTTTATTAAAGCTGTAGGGTCTCTGTCAGCTGAGGTCAAGCTGTTTTAGTTTACACTGAGTTCTATGGGGATAATTTCTGGGTAGCCCACGTGAATTTCGTCTGGTCTAGTCTGCAGTACCGCGAGAATCCCCCGAGCACATGAGTTCTTCAGCTCCAAGCTAGTAATACCCTATCCAGTTTATATAATAGATCCATGGTGAAGGACTACACCCGGTTTAAATACACAAGACTAACAAAACAGTAACACAAGTAACACACATGAGGGCCGGGCAGGTTTTCAGACAACAGGAAGTAGAGCTATGGAAGAGACATTGGTTAACAATTGCAAAAATAATAATAAAACAGGAAATAATCCTGAACCATGATATTTGTCCTTTCATGTGTGAGTGGCTGTTATATAAAATAAAATATAATGTAAGGAAACTCCCAAAAGAGCAAAGCTTCTATTTGATACTAGATTAGATTTCAGAATTACAGAACAAGACTGTAACTGGGTCTAATCCAGAGCAAAACAAAGACAAAGCATGGAAAACCAAAAACAGGCACAGAAGCATTTTAAACCAGCGTAGACAAGAAGACTCATGTACTCAAATCTGACAATGCATTGAGTTGGTTGTGTATAATAATAACTATGATGTGATTGGTCCGTTCTTGTCTGAAATCTGAATAAATAATCCTGATCTCCCTCTGGGCCTGCGCAGTTTGGCCCAGGTTCAGCTGTTCAACAAAGGGCGGGCTTCATATGGACCCTCCCCCTTCGCCATACACCTAAACCAAAAACAATCAAGATTACAACAGTGCTAAAATTAACTGAATCCGATTTAGCTTTCCAGCTACTACGTCTAAACAGCGGAGAAATCATTTTGAAAATAATGTAAGTGTAGAATTGATGATTACTGTGTTCTCAGAGTGCGAATGATGTTGAAGCGTAAGTGCACTGCAGTATAAAGTCATTTTCTGGTTCAGATTAATTTTATTTATGTAATTTGCAGTAAAACCAAGCAAAAGTCCCCAGTGTGCACCAGACAAGTAAGTGCCTTGCGAAAGTATTCAGCCCCCTTGAACCTTTCAACATTTCGCCACATTTCAGGCTTCAAACATAAAGATATAAAATTTTAATTTTTTGTCATGAATCAACAACAAGTGGGACACAATCGTGAAGTGGAACGAAATTTATTGGATAATATGAACTTTTTTAACAAATAAAAAACTGAAAAGTGGGGCGTGCAATATTATTCGGCCCCTTTACTTTCAGTGCAGCAAACTCAGTCCAGAAGTTCAGTGAGGATCTTTGAATGATCCAATGTTGTCCTAAATGACTGATGATGATAAATAGAATGCACCTGTGTGTAATCAAGTCTCCGTATAAATGCACCTGCTCTTTGATAGTCTCAGGGTTCTGTTTAAAGCGCAGAGAGAACCATGAAGACAAAGGAACACACCAGGCAGGTCCGAGATACTGTTGTGGAGAAGTTTAAAGCCGGATTTGGATACAAAAAGATTTCCCAAGCTTTAAACATCTCAAGGAGCACTGTGCAAGCAATTATATTGAAATGGAAGGAGTATCAGACCACTGCAAATCTACCAAGACCCGGCCGTCCCTCCAAACTTTCATCTCAAACAAGGAGAAGACTGATCAGAGATGCAGACAAGAGGCCCATGATCACTCTGGATGAACTGCAGATAACTACAGCTGAGGTGGAAGAGTCTGTCTGTAATAAAGGCTCAGCCCTGTGAGGGGAGTCACGTGACTTACGTAACTTACGTGACTGCCTGGCTCGTTACGTTTCGCGGTTCTTGTAACGGCAGCTAAGTTGTGTCCTACAGTTAGCTCACTTTGTGGGAAGTTCCAGCCCACTGCTACCTCAAACTCAGTCACTGATGAAACGTGAGTGTTTAATGTTGTATATTGTTGTGCTATTTACCCCTTTCTCGCTGTAAATACAATGGTCTGGTTCATGTGTAAATGCACTCCTCGCCTCGGGTGGAGTTTACTGTAGTGAGAGTTTGTGACAAGCTAGTTATGTGTGTACCTTCATTGCAGTGTATCTATGTAAGTTCTCACCATTTCTGAAGCATATGCAGTTGTTTAATGTTGAATCTTAGTAAGAATGTGTCACGTTTGTGCCGCGGGTTAATGTAATGACCTTCCGCGGCCGCTAGAGGGCGCCATTACTCTGCGCCAGCATTAAGTTCAGGGACTTCATTATGCAGCCATCTAATGCTGTTTATGTATGTTCTGTTATTGATGTTAATTGTTTGTACTAATAAGAGTGTGTGTTTAAGTGAGCATGCTTTATAAGAACATTTTTCTCTGTAAAAGTTATTGAATAATATGTTTGATTATTCATTGTATTTATCTGTATTTGCAGACTGTGTGTTTGTGTGAAGCAACCTGTGCAGCAGTGGCGGCTGCAATAAAATACCTGAACTTCAACCTGGTCTCTCCCCATCTTTCCTTCCCTGCGTTCTGACCGACGCCCCATCTTGTTTCATGTCTGACCCCTCCTTGAATTAGCATTATACAGTCCACCTCCTCCCTAACATTTGGTCCTTCGAGCCGGATAGACAGTACTCAAGATGGATCCAGGGGATAGCATGTACCAGTCAGTGAGACCCAAGAGACAAGCACGACCCCCTCCTTGGTTACAAGACTATGAAGTTGGTTATGAGCCAGATCAGCCAATAGATGCAGCGCCATATCGCCGAGAACCCAGCCCTCCTCTCGCACGAAGCTTCGACGGGGATGCTGCTCACACTGAGACGCCTCAGCTCGCCCCGAGTCGCTTCCGGAGGACCTCCAGAGAATGGGACCACCAGCCCTCCCCTGTTCCTTTCACCTCTTACTCCTCTCCATACCATGAACAGAGTCATCACATGGAGATTCGAGCTGTACAAGAGGAAAACGCTAAGTTACTCCAATCTCAACAGCTGTTCCAGTCTGGTCTTCATGAACTGACCAAAGCCCGGACCGAGATGAAAGAGTTAATAGAGGCTGCACGTCTACTGAAAACTGAAATGCTCAATTCACGTCCCGTGTACAGTCCAGTCAAACCGTTGCGGCACCCCAGCAGTGCAGCTCCAGTCACTTACCTCCCCCCTCAAGCAGAGTACCAGGGGGACTGCGAATGGCCTGATCCTCCACCTTGGCCCGAGCCTGAAGACAGTTACCAGCCTCATGACCCGGCGTGGCCTCCACCCCCTCCCCCACATCCTTACTTACCCACTAAGCCAAGCTGGAACCTGCAACCCGCTGTTAGGACACCGCCACTCAGCCAGCCTCTTACTCGTACAGCGCCACCTCGTGTAGCTGAGCCCCTCTACAGAGGCCCTCAACCCACAATACCTAAGTTTATAAACCCAGATCCTAGTGAGTTTGCTAGACTTCGCATAGCTTTAGAGAACCTGCTCCCAGCTAACACAACCGAACTGTTCAGATATCAGATACTAGTTGACCATCTGAGGCTAGAAGAAGCTAGGCTTATAGCAGATGCTTATTTAAACTCCTCCACCCCATACACAGACACCATGGCAGCTCTCCATGAAAAGTTTGACCAACCCCATCAACTAGCTCTCCGAAAGATAGCTAGCGTCCTTGAGGCCCCCGAAGTGCGAAGGGGGGACACAGCTGCTTTCCAGAAGTTCTCCCTGCAGATTCAGTCTTTAGTTGGCCTCCTGCAAACCCTGGGCCCTGAGGGAGATGTTGAGCTGAACTGTGGCTCACATGTTGCACGTCTGTTAGGTAAGCTTCCTGCTGAACTCCGTGCTGATTTTCGCCGACACAGTTTCAAGCAGTCAGGCTCTAGACATACCCTCCTTGACCTTTCAGAGTGGCTCCGTCATTAATCCTGGTGTCAAGGTTTTGATAGTCAGGTCACAATAAAGACTGGTAGAGAGAAGTTATGGCCTAGAAGTGACAGTCGGGCCCCAAAGCAGACGGTCTCAGTCTTCCATGGTGCAGAGGAGCCAGTCCAGACCGCTAAAACAAGCCATGGAAAAGTTAAGAACAAAGCTTACTGTGCATTCTGCGAGGGCAATGACCACCACCTTAGTCAGTGTAGTGACCTGGCCAAGCTCTCCAAAGAGCAGCTCAAAGAATGGATCCAGGTCAACAAGCGCTGCTGGCGCTGTGCACGAGCCCACCTTGCGGCACAATGCACCCTAAAGAAACCGTGTAGCCTATGCAATGGGAAGCACCTCCAGGCTCTCCACGAGATAAATATCAGAACAGAGAACCCAGCGGTAACAAAGCAAGAAAATAGCCTCACCAGTTCCGCTTCCAATGCCCTTTACCTAGACAGATCAGGTACAGGTAACAGAGCCCTGCTGAAGATTGCCCCTATCCTTGTCCATTACGGTGGCCGCACTATAAACTCCTTCGCCATCCTAGATGATGGGTCTGAAAGGTCCATGCTGCTACCTGCAGCAGCCAAGGCGCTCGGCATGAAGGGCACACCCGAAGACCTTCCACTGCGCACAGTTAGGCAGGATATTCAAGTCCTTAGCGGGTATTCAGTGTCCTTCCATATTTCCCCCGTGTCTAACCCCCACACCAGCTACAAGATTGAGGCTGCTTTCACTTCTACCCAGTTAAGTCTCGCCCAACACACTTATCCTGTCGAACGACTACAAAAGAAGTTCAGGCACCTACATGGTCTTCCTCTTCCAGCCTTCAAGAATGCTGAACCCTCGCTCTTGATTGGGTCAGACCAGCCCCACCTGATCACGCCTGTAGAACCCGTTCGACTCGGCCCGCCAGGCAGCCCAGCCGCAGTCCATACAAAGTTGGGATGGACCCTTCAAGGCCCAGTCCAGCTCATGGGGCGGCCCTCCAATGCTGTGCAATGTCTGTTCACATCGGCCCCACCCCAACTAGAAGACCTGTACAAGCACGTTGAAAGACTTTGGCAGATGGACTCTGTATCCCACAGGCCAGACAAGGAAGTAACACGTTCCCAACAAGATCGCCAAGCCATAGCTACCCTGCAGGCTAAAACTGTTCGTGTCGAAGTAAATGGCACTCTCAGATATGCCACCCCCCTCCTGCACCATCCTAACATGCCTCCGCTCGCTGCTCCCAAAGACTCTGTCTTACCCCTCCTACGCAGCACAGAAAGACGTCTCCTAAAGAACCCAGAGCAAGCAGAGGTGTATAAACAGGAAATCCAGAAGCTAGTTGACTCAGGCGCAGTAAGTGAGGTTAAAGAAGAGAGGTCAACCCAGGAGGGGTGGTATATCCCACACCACCTGGTTAGTCATAACGGGAAGTCACGGCTAGTCTTTAACTGTTCCCACGAGTACCTTGGACAGTCACTAAACCAGTTCCTGCTTCCTGGCCCTACACTCGGAGCTTCCCTGCTAGGAGTCCTGCTGAGGTTTCGGGAGAAGGCCATCGCTGTGTCCGGCGATATAAAGGGGATGTTCCATCAGGCCCGCCTCCTTCCAGAAGATCGACCTCTCCTCCGATTCTTGTGGCGAGACCTGCATGTGGACCAACCGCCAAAGACCTTTGAGTGGCATGTCCTCCCCTTCGGCACTGTCTGCAGTCCGTGCTGTGCTACTTATGCACTCCAACGCCACGTCGCCAATCACAGTCCAAGTGAAGACCTGAAGATTTCAGTAGAGAACTGCTTCTATGTGGACAATTGTCTCCAGAGCTTAGACACCCCAGAGGAAGCAAAGTCACTCGTCGACCGTCTAAGAGCCCTTCTTGCCGCAGCAGGATTCGAGTTACGCCAGTGGGCCTGCAACGACGCAAATGTCCTCAGCCACCTACCTCAAGCAGCAAGATCAGAGAGCCTTGACTTATGGCTCGCACAAGACAAGTCCAACCCACAAGAATCCACGCTTGGTCTCAGTTGGAACTGGGAGGCTGACATCCTGGGCTACAAACACAGAGCTGTGACCTACAAAGAACTAACCCTGAGAAACATTTATAAAGTCCTAGCATCCCAATACGACCCCTTAGGTTACCTGCTACCCTATAGTACAAGAGCCAAAATCATAGTCCGTCAGTTATGGGTTAAACAGCGTGGCTGGGATGATCCAAACCTGCCATCAGAACTCAGACAGGCCTGGGCTAGTTGGGAAGATGAGCTCCAGTTTCTTTCTCTCCTCTCTCTCCCCCGCCCTTATGTCTCCACAGGTGCAGATCCGGAAGGTGCCAGCCGCCAAGTCCATATCTTCGCAGACGCCTCCGAGCAAGCCTACGGTGCAGTGGCGTACCTGAGAACCGAAGATGCTAGCGGCCGGGTCCACCTCTCCTTTCTCCTCGCTCGCTCACGTGTGGCCCCCAAGCGTGTCCAGTCCATCCCTCGCCTCGAACTCTGCGCGGCCCTGGTTGCAGCCCAGCTTTGCCACCTCCTGGAAGAAGAACTCACCCTTACGGTATCCCAGGTGACTCTGTGGTCAGATTCCACGACGGTTCTGACCTGGCTCCATTCCCAGTCATGCCGCTTTAAAGTTTTCGTGGGTGCGAGAGTGGCCGAGATCCAAGAACTTACAAAGGAACACACTTGGCGCTACGTGGACTCCGCCAACAACCCTGCTGATGACCTGACCAGGGGAAAGGCACTCAGGACCCTTACGGAGCCCAACCGCTGGTCACAAGGCCCTCCTTTCCTGCTGCAGACGTCGGACACCTGGCCAGAAACACCCAGTACCCAACCACAGGAGGACACCACAGAGTTCCGGAAGTCGGTCTTCTGTGCCCTGGCCGTCACAGCAGGAACAGTTCAAGAAGTTTACAAGAGCTGGCAAGAGCTCATTGAAGCCAAAGCTAGTAGCACCTGCGGACAAGCCCCCACCGCCGACGAGTACCAGCAAGCAGAAACGGCTGCGCTTTTGCAAATGCAACAAGAGTCCTTTCCTGAAGACCAAAGGTTACTGGCAGCTGGGAAATCAGTCCCTCCCAGCAGTCGCTTGCTAACCTTGTCACCTGAGATAGACCCATCTACAGGCCTAATCAGAGTGGGCGGTCGTCTACGCCGTGCAGAGGGCCTCAGCAACTCCACAGTGCACCCTGTCGTCTTAGATCCTGCGCATCTATTCATGCGGCTCTTGATCCAGAAGTACGACACAGATCTCCGCCACCCAGGGGCAGAACGGGTCTACGCCGAGCTTCGGAGACTCTTCTGGGTCCTCCGGGGAAGAGAAGCTATTCGCAAACACCAACATGCTTGCACAGAATGTAGACGCTGGAGAGCCAAGCCATCCATCCCCAAAATGGCCGACCTTCCCGTTGCTCGTCTTCGTTTGTTTAAGCCAGCGTTCTACTCCACTGGTGTTGACTGTTTTGGGCCAATGCTGGTGAAAGTGGGGAGACGTCAGGAGAAGCGCTGGGGCATAATCTTGAAGTGCCTAACAACGAGAGCCGTGCACCTAGACCTTCTGAGAAGTATGGATACCGACGCATACCTGATGGCGCTCCGCAGATTCATTGCTCGTCGTGGGACTCCTGCTGAGCTGTGGTCCGATCGAGGGACGAACTTCAAGGGAGGAGAGCGAGAACTCCAAGAGGCCTTCGCCGAGATGGTGCCAACCCTGCAACAGCAGCTTGCTTCCCAAAAGATAAAGTTCCAGTACAACCCCCCGGCCGCTCCTCATTTCGGGGGAGTATGGGAGCGAGAGATCCGTTCGGTGAAGACAGCTCTACACGCCTGTGTTGGGGCTCAACCTGTTCCGGAAGACGTTCCTTTCACCGTACTATTAGAAGTGGAGTCAATCCTGAACTCCAAACCTCTAGGCTACACCTCTGCAGACGTGGCCGACATTGACCCTGTGACCCCCAACAGTCTCTTGATGGGGCGGCCTGATGGGTCATTACCTCAGGTTGTTTACCCGGAGACAGAGATCGTGAGTCGCAGACGTTGGCGACACTGTCAGGTGTTAGCTGACCAGTTTTGGACAAGGTTTATCCGTGAATACCTCCCAACTCTACAGACTCGACAGAAGTGGCAGGCAGTTTCCCCTGAGCTACTGGACAATGCTGTTGTGATGTTAGTTGAGCCTCACTTACCTAGATCTTCCTGGCCCATAGGACATGTGGTAAATGTACATCGTAGTGCAGATGGATGTGTTCGGTCCGCAGATGTAGAGATGAACGGTCATGTTTACACTCGACCTGCAGCGCGTTTAGTGATGCTGCCAGCGCTTCCTTCAGGAGAAGAATAGTTTCTACTCCTTTAGTTTTTGACTCGCCTTCATTTGGAGCAAATGTGCCTAGCACATTTGGGGGCGGCTGTAATAAAGGCTCAGCCCTGTGAGGGGAGTCACGTGACTTACGTAACTTACGTGACTGCCTGGCTCGTTACGTTTCGCGGTTCTTGTAACGGCAGCTAAGTTGTGTCCTACAGTTAGCTCACTTTGTGGGAAGTTCCAGCCCACTGCTACCTCAAACTCAGTCACTGATGAAACGTGAGTGTTTAATGTTGTATATTGTTGTGCTATTTACCCCTTTCTCGCTGTAAATACAATGGTCTGGTTCATGTGTAAATGCACTCCTCGCCTCGGGTGGAGTTTACTGTAGTGAGAGTTTGTGACAAGCTAGTTATGTGTGTACCTTCATTGCAGTGTATCTATGTAAGTTCTCACCATTTCTGAAGCATATGCAGTTGTTGTTGTAATGTTGAATCTTAGTAAGAATGTGTCACGTTTGTGCCGCGGGTTAATGTAATGACCTTCCGCGGCCGCTAGAGGGCGCCATTACTCTGCGCCAGCATTAAGTTCAGGGACTTCATTATGCAGCCATCTAATGCTGTTTATGTATGTTCTGTTATTGATGTTAATTGTTTGTACTAATAAGAGTGTGTGTTTAAGTGAGCATGCTTTATAAGAACATTTTTCTCTGTAAAAGTTATTGAATAATATGTTTGATTATTCATTGTATTTATCTGTATTTGCAGACTGTGTGTTTGTGTGAAGCAACCTGTGCAGCAGTGGCGGCTGCAATAAAATACCTGAACTTCAACCTGGTCTCTCCCCATCTTTCCTTCCCTGCGTTCTGACCGACGCCCCATCTTGTTTCATGTCTGACCCCTCCTTGAATTAGCATTATACAGTCCACCTCCTCCCTAACACTGTCCATAGGACAACAATCAGTTGTGCACTGCACAAATCTGGCCTTTATGGAAGAGGGGCCATTTCTCAAAGATATCCATAAAAAGTCTCTTAAAGTTTGCCACAAGCCACCTGGGAGACACACCAAACATGTGGAAGAAGGTGCTCTGGTCATCCATCCATCCATTTTCTACCCTTTAATCCATTTCTGGGTCAGGGGGGTGGCAATCAGCGATGCCACCCAAGTCTCATAGCACCAGCCCCTCACTGACCCTCTGCAGGTGGTGAGTCCACAGGAGGACGGCTGCTCTCTGAGTGTGAGCATAGCCTTGATCTTTCAGTGGGGGCTTTGGGCAAAGTGGGGTTAAGTGTCTTGCCCAAGGACACAACGACAGCAGTCATCAGTGGGAGTTGGTGGAGAAGGTGCAGAGGTGGGACCTGTGCTCTGGTCAGATTAAACCAAAATCAAACTTTTTGGCCACAATGCAAAACGATATGTTTGGCGTAAAAGCAACACAGCTCATCACCCTGAACACACCATCCCCACCTCAGCTGTAGTTATCTGCAGTTCATCCAGAGTGATCATGGGCCTCTTGGCTGCATCTCTGATCAGTCTTCTCCTTGTTTGAGATGAAAGTTTGGAGGGACGGCAGGGTCTTGGTAGATTTGCAGTGGTCTGATACTCCTTCCATTTCAATATAATTGCTTGCACAGTGCTCCTTGAGATGTTTAAAGCTTGGGAAATCTTTTTGTATCCAAATCCGGCTTTAAACTTCTCCACAACAGTATCTCGGACCTGCCTGGTGTGTTCCTTTGTCTTCATGGTTCTCTCTGCGCTTTAAACAGAACCCTGAGACTATCAAAGAGCAGGTGCATTTATACGGAGACTTGATTACACACAGGTGCATTCTATTTATCATCATCAGTCATTTAGGACAACATTGGATCATTCAAAGATCCTCACTGAACTTCTGGAGTGAGTTTGCTGCACTGAAAGTAAAGGGGCTGAATAATATTGCATGCCCCACTTTTCAGATTTTTATTTGTTAAAAAACGAAGCAAAGGAAGGTTTCTCACCCATCATCTGTACTTCTTAGCAAGTTTTCCCGACGTTTCGTCCTCAACCTGGGGACTTCTTCAGGGAATGAATTCTCGGACCGCGCGTTGGAGATTTATAACCTATGGGTGTGGTAAGCCACACCCTAATCCTGATACTAACTCGTAAACAATCTACGGTCTGCTTGATGTAGAAGGGAGCAGGTCTAACGACCCTGCTGAGGCTAACGACCCTAACTCCTTAGCATGTCACAGACCTATTGTCTGCTGGGATGCTCACGTGGAGTGCAGGTTTCACCCCTCCTAACTCATTAGCATGTCACTGACCTTGTCCCAAGTTAGGGCGTTGTTTTTAGGATGTCGTCATAGATGCGAGGCAAAACAAATCTTAACCCTCCTCCTCTGTTAAGAGAGAGTTTTTGTTTCCTCACAAAAATGGCTTCTTTCACTCCTCTCTCAAACCAATTCTTCTCCCGAGCCAGAATTTTAACCTCTGTGTCATCCACCGTGTGGTTGGAGGCCTTGAGGTGGAGATGAACAGCCGACTGTGGCCCACTAGGGTTTTCTCTACGATGTTGGTAAAGTCGTTTCTGTAGAGTTTGTTTGGTTTCTCCAATATAGTGGTCAGTGCACTCCTCTTCACTACATTTAATTGAATACACCACATTGCTCTGTTTGTGTCTGGGTGTTTTGTCTTTGGGATGCACTAATTTCTGTCTTAACGTGTTGAAAGGTTTGAAATACACAGGGATTTTGTGTTGCCTAAAGATTCTTTGTAGTTTCTCTGAAACTCCCGCCACATACGGTAAGGACACCCCTCTCCTCCTACTTTCTTCTGTCTGTAGGACTGTGTCTCTGGCCTTTCTCGTCCTTTGGGCTTTAGTAAAAGACCACTTGGGGTAGCCACATCTGGAAAGTGCTCTCTGAACATGTTTGGTTTCTCTGTTCTTTCCCTCCGAGCTTGTGGGGACCTGGTGGGCTCGGTGTTGAAGCGTTCTAATGACCCCGAGTTTATGTTGTAGCGGATGATTTGAATCAAAGGCCAGGTACTGGTCAGTGTGAGTGGACTTTCTGAAGACCTCAGTCTCTAATTGTCCGTTCTCCAGTATGATGACCTTACAATCTAGAAAGGCGAGTTCACTCTCCTTAGCATCCTCGCGAGTGAAATTTGAGAGAGGGGTGAAAGAAGCCATTTTTGTGAGGAAACAAAAAACCTTCTCTTAACAGAGGAGGAGGGTTAAGATTTGTTTTGCCTCGCATCTATGACGACATCCTAAAAACAACGCCCTAACTTGGGACAAGGTCAGTGACATGCTAATGAGTTAGGAGGGGTGAAACCTGCACTCCACGTGAGCATCCCAGCAGACAATAGGTCTGTGACATGCTAAGGAGTTAGGGTCGTTAGCCTCAGCAGGGTCGTTAGACCTGCTCCCTTCTACATCAAGCAGACCTGAGATTGTTTATGAGTTAGTATCAGGATTAGGGTGTGGCTTACCACACCCATAGGTTATAAATCTCCAACGCGCGGTCCGAGAATTCATTCCCTGAAGAAGTCCCCAGGTTGAGGACGAAACGTCGGGAAAACTTGCTAAGAAGTACAGATGATGGGTGAGAAACCTTCCTTTGCTTTGACTAATCCCTGTACGACTGAGGGCTTACACAAACTTATTTGTTAAAAAAGTTTAAATTATCCAATAAATTTCATTCCACTTCACGATTGTGTCCCACTTGTTGTTGATTCATGACAAAAAATTTACATTTTATATCTTTATGTTTGAAGCCTGAAATATGGCGAAATGTTGAAAGGTTCAAGGGGGCCGAATACTTTCGCAAGGCACTGTACATAAATAAAACGGGGTAAAAAGATACTGGAATAAAACAAGCTATAAAAAAGTGCAGGAAACAATTGACGTGAAATTGATCAACTGAAATAGTTTCAATACAAGTGCAAGATCATTAAAGTGCTTTGTTAGCTCACTGATAGCAGCTTGTCAATATCAGCTTTGTTTGTACAGCACATTTACAACACCAGCTGCCCAAAGTGCTTCACAGGCACAGAAGATAAAAAATAAAATAAAACAGCATAAAATACGTACACATTGATATTTACAGTCTATGACATATACATGGAAAAAGTAAAATGGTAAAACTCTGTTGAAAATCCAAGGCGTGAAAATATGTCTTTAGACTACATTTAAAAACTTCCAATGAAGGAGCTGCTCTATTGTACAGAGAAAGACAATTCAGTGGAAAGAAGCTGTTAGCGAAATTACGAAATGTCCTGCACCTCAGCGCGAAGAAGCTGGAACATGGCTTTTCATTAGTCGTTCATCATCTTAAGAGCTCGGTTTGAGTCTGGATTCATAAAGAACCTCCAGAACAGGCAGGTCACGGCTCACAGTCCTCTTTGCAGAGCGGAGCACCTTGTTTAGAGCTCTCCTTTCTTTGGCTGGGATAATGCCAAACCATACAGTAAGTTGGATGTTTTTCTCCCAATCCCTTGATCCTTACATTTCAATCTATTCCACCCTTCAGCCTCTTTATGGTGTGGTCTGATTTGTATTGCATAAGACATCTATCTGAAATTTAGAAGGACATGATTCGAAATGGAGCACATTTGTCGTAACTTCAAAGCGATGACCTCAACAACGACTGCACATGCTTGAATCATCTGCAATTTTGAGGGGGTAAAAATAAAGTTTTGTATAAAAGGTGTGCATGACCATGATTTGTTCTCTCTAAGTAAAGAATCAACAGAGAATGCAGGGAGTTTTAAGTTAATTTAAGAGTGTAATAACCACAAACGGAAAGAAACTTGTGAATGAAGCAGGTGTGTGAGTGCGCACGTGCTGTGACTGAGATAAAACTGTAGGATAATAGCATGAGACAGAGCTGGAGCCAAGGACAGGACAACGGATAAAAGTGATGGAGGCAAACCACCAAGGACAATCAAGCCCAGAGGAGCCAGGGCGTGCAGGGAGATGGAAACTAAAACACATAATCTCAACTTTATGATAAGATAGTAAGAGTGCTTTACTTCAAAGTGACCAGAAATAAAGAAAGACATAAGTCCAAAACCAGTATGACAGGGTCGACTTGGATGTGGCTTTTGGGTTGTTCAATATAGTAACAAAAATATCCTTATTAAAAGTGTTAAAAAGTGTAAAACTGCTTATTATTCCTAACCTTATCAACCATCAATATTCATGTTCCTACGTTACTGCATGAACCACGGTTTCACACACTACATTTTACATCTGAATGACGTTTGCCATTTTCTAACTACAAGTGCCGGTATTTGTATATGGTCAGTCGGTTTTCCTGTTTGGTTCTTCACTTATCTCTGGGCCTGTCCTTGGGCTAACAGAAAGCGGCAGGTGGAGGCAGAGGCGTGGAGCGAGGAGACGGAGGAGATTTAGATAAACAACCTTTAACAGAAGCGAGGTCACACTGTTAGAGTAAAGGAACATGTGAGATGTGTAGATGTGACAAAGCAGGGCAATGTAGCAAAACACAAATGAGTGATGTTGAAATATCCAAAATAAACGTTTTAACACTAAAAACTTTGCTTGTGTGGTGCAGCGGTCAGCAAAGGTCCTGGGTTCGGATCTCCCTCCAGACAGGGCCTTTCTGTGTGGAGTTTGCATGCTCTCCCTGTGTCTGTTTAGGTTTTCTATGTCTACTCCGGTTTCCTACCACTAAAATCATGTACAGTAGTTCTACCATGTGCTGCATGAATGGTGTTACTATGTGGGGTGAAAGGGCAAATGCCCACAACCATTGTAAGCGCTTTGTGACTGATAGATTAAAGTAACAATATGTAATATTTGCATGTCAAGTCATCAGTAAATGGCCCCAATATTTCAAAAGGCGTTATTAAATCATGCTCTTTTCAAATACATCGTTAACTGATAACAGTAGATCATTTGAATATCAAAATTAGTTTTACGACCCAAAAGTTTTTATTGTTTTCATTTCGATGTCCCGCCTGTCGCTGTTTCGCTAATCAGGAAGTGAGTGATCCAGGTTGCCACAACTCCTCGCGGTAAAATAACATGTGCTGCCGCAGAACTAAAAAAGGTCTTATTATGACTCTCAAATCATTAATGACAAGGATTTATATCAGGACACCATTGAAAAATTGAGACAGCGGATAAAAGTTTTTGTTTGATGCAAAACTTGATGGATTTATCCCGTTTTCCTCCTTGTTACTTGATATGTGTAATGGTGGACTAATGGTTAAGGCACAGAGTTGACGATGCAGCGACCCGGGTTTGCGTCCGTGTAATGGCTCTTTAACATTATATTTCATTTTATGACAGATTGTTCAAAATCAGGTAAAAGACAATAATCAAGACGTTTTTTGCAGATTATAGTTTATTTGTAAAAACAGTAATTTGAGAACACATGTACCCAATTAAAATAATGTCTCTATTTGATATGGGACTTATACATGTTTGTCTAAAAAATAGGGAATGAATAAAATTGAAGAGTGATATCCTCTGGAGGAAACCCTGATGTTGATACGCTGAAGAAATATGTTCCAACATCCATTCTTCCCACTCCTATTTTGGACATCAATTGCTTATTTATTTTGCATAATCAATGTATAATGAAAGTGCTTTTATTTAGTTTTTCTCATCTCAAAAGTCCAAATAAAATAAATACTAAAACATTCATTCAAAAAATTCATTCAACATTAGCACGGCTATCATGGTAATGTGAATGGAGACAGACAAACAACTGATTAAATAATTCCCTGTGTTTGCTGCTGGATTTGGTGCGTATCTGGCAACCTGAGTCAGGAAGATTGGGAGAGGACTACATAATATTGACTGTGATTGCAGTACCACTTTTGGCCAGATTTTTTACATACTGCTCCTTTAAAGATTATAAACTTATTTTATTGCACGTGTTTTAGTACCCAATGTGTCTTGCCAAAGATACAGCCAGAGAAGCTACCCTGCTGAGCCTTTTGATCTGACTGATCAGACTTTCACATGCAGGTGTGGTGGTGTTGCCAGATAATTATTTCAGGAGCTAGTCATGTCATGTCTGTGACTGTTAAAAGTGAAACTTAAGAGAACAGCTTCCTGTTATGTGTGAGCAAGAGAATGAATCTGACGTCTTCTTAACTTGCAAAATAAATTCCCACATACAGTAAGTACAAATAATATCATACCTCTTATTCTAAGCTAAGTTACTTCCTGAATTTCTCCTACGGGGATCAATAAAGTATCTAGCTATCTATTATGGTTTTATGCAAGTAAAGCTTTGCAGCAGAAACAAGGAAGTCATTTATCTGGAGTTTTTTGATGAACGTGAGATATGTCAATAACAGAGTTTAAATGTTTATTTTAGGGTGTATACATTTTTTAACTTACTATTGTGTATGAGTTTGTTCATTTAGTTTTAGTCTGGAACTTTTATACATACAAGAACTAGAAGGTGCAAAATACTCAAAACTCAATATAAGAATACTGCTCACATAGACTAGGTTTACTCCACTGCTTACTTACTGCTGATGTTCCCAAACTTTTTCAAAGTAACTTTCTAGCAAAGATTCCAGTGATCCTGGACCTATTATTTTATGAATTACAACTCTAAAGGCCTATGACAAAATCATGTGTTACTAATTTTCTGTCACAGAAATGGCATCTGCCCGCTGCGTTCTGACTGAAGACCATCTCCTGTGCTCCATCTGCCTGGAGGTCTTCACTGACCCTGTCTCCACTTCCTGTGGACACAGCTTCTGTAAGACCTGCATCAACCAACACTGGAACCACAGCGAGCAGTACCATTGTCCCATCTGTAACGAGGACTTCAGTGTCAAACCTCAGTTAAAAACTAACACCTTTATGTCTGAAATGGTCTCCCAGTTCAGGGCGTCTCCAGAGGAGCCAGAGGAGCAGACAGGGACAGGAGGTGTTCCGTGTGATGTATGCTCCACTCCCAGGCTCAGGGCGCTGAAGTCCTGCCTGGTGTGTCTGGCCTCCTTCTGCCCCACTCACCTGGACCCTCACCTGAGAACCCCCCGGCTCCAGCGGCACCCCCTCATCCACCCTGTGCAGAACCTGGAGGAGAGGATCTGCCCTGAACATGGCAAGCCTCTGGATCTGCTTTGTCAAACTGAGAAGATGTTTATCTGTGTACACTGCTCTGTCTCTCGGCATAAAGACCATGTGTCAGTGCCCCTGGAAGAGGAGTGTGAGCGACAGCAGACGGAGCTGGAGGAAATTGTGAAACAAAGAAAGCAGAAGATCCAGGAGATCCAGGGTTCAGTGAAGGTTAATAACCAGAATGCAGACAGAGAGCTGTCTGAGGGGGTGAAAGTCTTTTCAGCCATGATGGAGAGTGTTCAGAAGAGTCAGCACCAGTTCAGAGAGAGAATCAAAGCAGATCAGAAGGCGGTAGAGGACAGAGCTGCAGAGATTATAGAGCAGTTAGAGCAGGAGATCTGTGTCCTGCAGTGGAGAGAAGCTGGCATGAAGCAGGCCCTTAAATATGAAGACCACTTTAGTTTCATACAAACCTTCTCAGAAAACACTGCTTCAGATTTTCAGGATTTGACCAACACAATGGTTTCTCCACATGCGCATGATGACCTGGTGGATAAAGCTTTGTCCGAGCTTCAGAAGACGCTTCTTCTACATAAAAAAAAAAAATCTGAAGAACTGAAACGCGTCCAGCAGTTTGAAGTCGATGTGACTCTGGATCCTGACACAGCTTCTTCACAAATAATTTTGTCTGTTGATAAAAAACAGGTTCAATTCAACAAACTTAGAATGAATTATCCAGATCTAGTGATCCTACTCGGTCCGAAGCGCCTGCGTGACTCCCTCACTAACCAGATGGTTACTCTCGATAATGTCAGTATAATACCCAGTAACACTGTGAGGAATCTTGGAGTCATTTTTGACCAAGAACTCTCCTTCAAGGCTTATATAAGCCAAGCAACTAAAATCAGCTTCCCATTTATGTTAAGGAAGCAGATACGGTCTCCACATTCAAGGCCAGGCTTAAAGCACTTTACTTTAATTTAGCATATAATTAGGTAATATATAATATGTAGTGTATATATTATATATATATGCTGTATTATGTTATATATTATGTTATATACTATTCAATAATGTATTGTGTTATGTTGTATATTATGTTATATATTATGCTGTATGTTATTCTTTATTCAAGGCTAGGTTTAAAACAGTCCTCTTTAGTTTAGCATATGGCTAGGAAGGTAAGACTCGGAGAAGGTTAAACTCCTCAGAGTGTTAGTCAAGCTGCATAGGGAGTCAGTTTGCTGGGAGAAGTATGGTAACTTGAGCACTATCCTCTCCTCCTTCCTACTTTATCTGTTTAGCATTTTTAGGATTCTGACTGTAGTTTGTTCATTGCTATTCACCCGTTGTCCCATTGTCTGTTTCATGGTACGATGACGGGATCTCTGAGCCTGGCCTCTTCCATCTACACCTGCGGACTGCCCCGCCCGACCCGCCTGGGAGTGCTTCGGTCCTGCACCGGACCTGTCCACGTTCAGCGTCCACTGGTCCACGTTCTGTAGCTAGCTTAGGTCCTAGATCATTAGTCTGTCCGTCCGGAGGAGCGGATCCCTTTCTCATATGGGTCTCCCTCCCTGTGGGTTTCCCTAGTTCTCCTCCAAGGTTTCTCACTTTTTCCCACTGGGTTTTTTAAGAGTTTTTCCTTGTCGATGCAGGAGGGTCTTGTTGGACAGTTAGTGTCCAACAGAAAGGATTGGTGATGATCAGGACACTTTAGCATTCTACAACATGTATGGACATTTTCTTCTGTGTGTGCTTTATACTGTATTCTTCATGTGTTTTAACTGTTGATTCTCTGACCTGTGTTGGTGATTTCAATGGTTTTGTTAAGTCCTCTGAGATGACTTCTGTTGTGACCTAGGGCTATACAAGAATAAATTGTATTGTATTGTATTGTATCTACCACAGAGATATAAAAAATTATGTGTATTAGGGAAGCAGAAGTTCTCCTCAGGGAGGTCCTACTTCCAGGTTCAGGTTAAAGGTAAAACTGCCTGGTTGTTAGGAATGGCCAAAGAGTCTGTGGACAGAAAAGGAACAGTTATCGTGAAGCCAGAGAATGGATATTGGACAATCAGACAGTCGGCTCCTAACAAGTACAGAGCTGATGATAGCGAACACGTCCCGCTGCAGCTGAAGTCTCGTCCTGAGACTGTGGGGGTCTTTGTAGATTATCCTCAGGGTCTGGTCTCCTTTTATGACGTGGACAGTGCAGAGCAGCTCTACTCTTTCACTCAGTGCTCTTTCAACGATAATATTCTAACATTTTTAGCCCCACAAATGAACGATACAACTCCTCTGAGAGTCACACCTGTGAAAATCAAAAATAACTAATACTCAAAATATACTGTACACATATTGCAATATCTACAAGAATATTTTGAATCCTGGAATAAAAAAGGGTAGGTTTGACACTATTGATCAGTTAATCGGTTACTATTTGCAACTCCAAAAATATTTAATTAGATGGATCATTTCACTTGTTTAATATTTAGAGTGTACTGTAAACTATATGTCCATCCATCCATCCATTTTCTTCCCCTTAATCCATTTCTGGGTCGGGGGGGTGGCAGTCAGAGCTACACCAGTACACTGCAAAAGATGACAGAATTAAAGACAAAAAAATGCTCAAATTTGGCTAAATGTATCTAAATATGAGCACATTTTGACTGCCTTAAAACAAGATGTGCCAGTGGAACAAGAAAAATTGTCTTGTTTTAAAAAGATACAAGATATTTTTCTCTTGGAATGTGAAAATAAAGCAATAGTTCTTGAATCAAGTCAAAATTGCTTGTCTCATTGGCAAATCTCATTTTAAGACAGTCAGAATGAACTTAAAGCTGCACTAACTGACTTTATTTTTGTATTCATTACGAAAATGCTATCCATGTCCATGTAGTGCATTGGGATATATGTCCTTTTGAAGAAAAAGTAGCGCAGATTTGTACTGGCGTAACATAATATTTTAGATTGAGTTTTGATGAAACAAGGAAGAGAATGTGTTTCGGGTCGCAGATTGTGACCAATCACAGCGCACCACTAGCCCCCACTTTCGTGAGAAATCTACAGGTCCGTTAGCATAGACGGCTGAGTTAGCACAACAAGCGGCGGAGCTAACCTGAAGCTTCGTGTGTCTTCGTCACCGGTTACTGCTTACACAGCGAGACAGCCATCCAAAAGAAAGTCTCGTTCCTCCGCGCTTCCCGGTTCTATCGTTCTATGGTCACGCCATCCACGTGAAAATCCATGTCCATGGTTTATCCATATTGGAAGACGCAAGCTCCGTCTCAACACTGTGTGTGTGTGTGGGGTGCGATAGCTTCGTGGGTGCGGGGAGGGGAGCAGAAAGAGAGAGGCCAGCGAGTCTGCGGCTTCAAAATCCCAAAGTCAGTTAGTGCAGCTTTAAGTCAAGTTAAAAAAAACTCAATTCTAGCAATTATGATCTCATATTTGATCATTTTTTGCAGTGTACACATAGCACCAGCCCCTCACTGATCCTCCTGCAGGTGGTGAGTCCACAGGAGCTGAGATCTTTCAGCTGGGGCTTCAGGCAAAGTGGGGTTAAGTGTCTTGCCCAAGGACACAACGACAGCAGTCACCAGTGGGAGTTATGAAGTAGGTCTTACGGTGGGCTCGAACCCACGACCTTCAGGCTCAAAGGCCAATGCTCTACCAACTGAGCCACTTTCGCCCACAGTCACTGTCGCCACAGAAACTATATATTTCTTTTAAAAATGACAATGCATTTTTGAATTAAAAATCATGTTCCTTTAATATGTCCCAGAAATGTAGTCACAGCACGATGTTTTGTTATCAGAGGTTTTGAATTAAACCTATCAGACTAGACTAAACACGATAAAAAAGCTCAAAAAAGTTAATTTGACATATGTTGCCACTGACTTCACCATGTTCATGTTGTGCCCGCCAGTGTCCTCGCCTCATTCCCACGCTGTGATGGTTCTGCAGCAGCTGAGGCCTCATGTCGGCCCCAGTGTTTAACTGAGTCTGAATACGTTTGAACAGAGACGGAGAGCTCGGGTCAGCAGGGATTAGCACAGGAAGACTCCACAGTGCTAAGCTAACATCCGCAGCCTCGCTGTTTTTGTCATTTATGAAGTTCGTCGACTGTGCAGGGAAACTCAACATCACAACTCTTAAGGGACAATTAGGGCTGAACAATATATTCAAAAATATTTTTATATAACGAGAATGGCAAGTGCAATAGTGATCGCATGTGAAATTTATCATGTGGGTTTTTTTTGCTGTTGAGCCCAGTGACTCTCTTTGGCATTAGAAAACAAATCACAACGTGGCGGAAGAAGAGATGAGCAAACACTGCACTTCCAACTTTTAGCCTGACCTATGTCCAGGATGTTTTTTGGTCCCATTCCCTCGTCCACCCCTAATAGTTCCAGTTATCCCTTCAAATAAGGACTGAACTGAACTCAATGTTATAGAGGGGTATGTAGATCTTGTCTTAACAGACCACAGTGCCGTGATTTATCTGGAGCCTGTAATGTAGGCTAGGAGAGTGCTAATATAGAATTTGAATAGTTAGTTGTTTTATTGTTTCATTGTTTTATTTAGTAAAATCAATATATAAATACATTTTTTTTATTGATTAAAGATAAATGTGTCAATAATTTATCTTTAATATATTTTTGGTCATGTTCGTTCACACTTTCGACTTTTGTTGTGAAGCTTAAAGTAAAATGATCCCAAAAAGGGTAAGCTGTTAGGTCCCTAAACAGAGCACTTTAATTGCTGCTTTTTCCCCTTGTATAGTTTTTTTTTTTTTTTTTTTTGTCGATTGGTGCCACAGTGTCAGCTGTTTTTATTTATGTTCAAGTGTATTCTGTTGGTGCACACAGAGTACCTTTTTTGCAAATGTATTCCAATTCGGTTTTCATACTGCACATGGCAAATAAAATGAATCTGAATCTGTTGATTTTTTATTTTATTTACATTTGCCGGAGCAGTAGATAAGGTTCAAAAGTCTTTATGTTGCTGGACTGATGCATTGCAAAAAGTTGCAAAAATAAGTCAAAAATGGTTCAAATTTGGTAAAATGTATCTTAATTTGAGCACATTCTGACTGCATTAGAACAAGATTTGCCAATAGGAAAGGCAAAATGATCTAAGTAAGGGATAACGTATAGTACGCAGGTCATTATCGGAAAATAAGTACCGACAGGGCGAACCTGAGGGGTCTGCTTCCGCCCTGAAGCAGGACAAAACTGAACAAAGAATTGTGAACATCAGCGGTGAGTGACCCATACATAAACTTAACCTAAATCCATAATTCGATCCTCTGCAAATGTGTCCTAAAATGTGCCGGGATCTACTTCCGGGTTTTTCAGGATCGCCTTTTCTCGCATTACATCAGTGTTTTTGTCATGAAAACGTAAACGGAAAAATCTGAAAACTTCACGGAAGTTTTCAGAATTTTCCGTTTACGTCACTTGTATTAAGAATGTAAATGTATAATGTACTCTCCAATTAACATTTAATTGCGTTGATTGATTGGCATTTGCGTTTAATGAGCGTGGCTAGCTCCGGAGTGGCTGGAACTACTTCCGGGTTTTTCATGATCGCTTTTTGACGCAGATACATAGTATTTTTGTCATGAAGACAAGAGCAGTAAATTCTGAAAATCTCCATGCACGTGTGTGAAGAATGTATATGTAGTATAGATATGAAGTATTCTCCGATTAACATTTAAGTGTGTTGATTGATTGGTATTTGCGTTTATTGAGCGTGGCTGGCTCCGGAGTGGCCGGAACTACTTGCGGAGTTATCCACGCATTTGAAATACAAGCAGAGAGTGCGTTGCCAAAGGGCAGCGGCCATTATTGTTTTGAGAGGTCCGTTATCAATAATGACCGGTAGAACATTTTGAAATTACATTAAAATCAATGGAGCGTTCTACTGCTGCTGTGAGGAGCCGTGTAATTTAAAAAGATACAAGAAATGTCTCCTTTGGAATGAGAAAATACTGTATAGCAACAGTTTTTGAAACAAAATTAAACGGCATGTCCCATTGGCAAATCTTGTTTTAAGACAGAATGTGCTCAAATTAAGATAAAAACCACTAGATTTACGGAATTATTACCTCATTTTTGATCATTTTTTGCAGTGTGGATGTTGTATAACGGAAACACAGTATACCATATCTGAAACCGAAAGTGCCAATTGTGTCTATATATTGCATTGTTCATGTATCAAGATCCGTATTCTCCAGGTGCTAATATTGACAGTGATTCATGATAATGTGTACATTGAAGAAAACATCAGTGTACTTTTATTCAAACCAGATTATTAGGCTGTTTTGTTTATGCTTTAAAAATGTACGGTTACACTTTCACACAGTGTTGACGTTGGTGATGTCTACAAGAGCGCTCGGGGGATGAAAGTTGAGCAGCAGACTTTGAAGTGTAAACTACAGCCTTTTTAAGGGGAGCTTTTGAAATATTCATAATTTCAGCAGGGGGCAGATCTGAAGAAAATAATCAATATAGAATGTGAATGTATGGACTAATGCTTCAGCCTATGTTCGACTATGGGGCTACCTCTTTGTCACCGGTTTAGATCGCTGCTGATAGTGGATGATGTTCAGGTCCTGGTTGGTTTTGTTTTTGTTGCGCTTGACTGGTATGAAGATCAGATAGTGCTTTTCTGGAGAAAGGTGGTGGAGAAACGTGGTGGAGCCTTCCTCAAGCAGAAGAGTCAATGGTCGATGTTTTGGAGGTATCACTGAGAGGGCACAGGGGGACTGCATGAGGGACTGCATGGAAGAATGTCAAGAGTGAAGCACAAAATAAATTGTAATAATAACGATAACAAAATGGTCAAAATTACAATAAGATAGGAGAACCTTTAGTCGTCCCACAGTGGGGAAATTTCGATGTCGCAGGGCAAATGCAGTAAGTAAGTAAGTATTATTTATTTATATAGCGCTTTTCACAGAGAAGAGTCACAAAGTGCTTTACAATCGTGGGCATTTGTCTCTCACTCCACAGAGAGAAGGGAGTGGGGTCGTCAGTTCAAGAGGCGCATGCCAGACCTATTGTACATGTTGTAGTACGGGAAACCGAAATACCAGGAGGAAACCGGAGCAGACACGGGAAGAACATGCAAACTCCACTCAGAAAGGCCCTGTTTCTTCTTGGCGAAAAGCGAGAGTGCTATCTACTCAGCCAGCGTGTCGCCCAAATACAGCACAGTTGTAAGAGTACACGGGGAATGGGATCACACAAAATATACAATATAAGTAGCTGCTGGTGATGCACTAGTCTCTTTGTTGGTGTTTAGTCCTGTTTCTGCCACAGGACCAATGGCAAATTTTGCCTATAGATTAGAGAGTAAGGAAAGAATGTTTAAAAGAAGTGGTATAAGTGGTTTCCAAATGCTCTGTTGTTTTTCTTTGAACATATCCGCAATTGTGTGGAAAAGGTTAAAGTCTTGAGTGTTTGCCAATGGAGGGTCCACGTCCAAAGAAGACTGAGCCAATACATACAGCTTTAAAAATGTGTTTGTGAGAGAAAGACAGAAGAGAGATAAAAGAGGAGAGACAAACAAATAACCCTGATTTGAAAAAGTTTTGATTATAGGCTCAATCTTGTCCTCCTTTCTCCGCCTCAAGTCCTGGGTAGCTTCGACTGTGTCTGCACTAAATCATTTGTTCTACTCTATTTGTGACCTCCAAGTGCTCGTCGAAAAACTACAAAACTGTTCCCTGACACGCAGCCGTCTCCGCTCACACTTCCTCTGTGGTCATGTGATCTGCGGCGCTCTGAAATTTGGTGCTGATGATTAATTTATCACATATCGATTTGTTTGTGCAGCAGCGGCTCCCTGTCCGTCTCTGAAGGTTCTTTGTGTTCTCACTCTGCTCTGAACTCAGATCCAGCTTTGATTTACAGCAAAAGCAGGAAAAGGCAATTGCTATTTTTAAAGTATTATTTAAAAGGGTTTTGCTTGTTATTGGGACAGTTAATAATATAATATTTTCATTTTACATTTCATTGACATCTTTTATATGTTTTCCCAGAATATTGTATATGTCAACATGTACAAATCGTATGTGAACTTTTCTGAATAAAAGTTCAAGTGCAGATTATCCAATCAGAGAGAAAAATCAGGCTCTAAGTGTATGGAGCTATTATTGTTTCACTAATATTTGTGTGTGCGTAAACAGATTTGTGTGTGCGTAAACAGATGTGTGTGTGCGTAAACAGATTTGTGTGCCAGTTTGTGATGTGGAATGTTGTTAGTCTTGAGTTATTCAAGTTATATTTATAAAAACAATTAAATGTTTTCCTTCATTCTCAAGACGTGAGATTTGTGTCTGGAGTTTGCATGTTCTCCCCGTGTCTATGTAGGTTTCTTCTGGTTGCTCCAGTTTCTCCTACCACCAACTTACTTACAGTACCTAAAACATGTACAAAAGTTGTGGGTGAATGAGTGTGTGTTTGTGGCCGTGACTGTGGGAGAAAGAATGGAAAATTAGCATCTATAATAATAATAATGAATCGGTTTTATATAGCGCTTTTTTGGACACTCAAAGACCCTTCACATGTCATTGTTCATTCACTCCATACACGGTGGTGATAAACTAAAAGTGAAACCACAGGTGCCCTGGGGCACACTGACAGAAGTGAGGCAACCAGTATGTGCCATCGGCCCTTTCGACCACCACCAACCATTCAAACACACACCAGACTCATTCTAGGCAATGGGGGTGAAGTGTCTTGCTCGAGGACACAACAACAGTTTGGCAAATTACAGCCACAGCCGCCCTACTGTGGCACCTGGTGCATCTGCTGTTCATTAATACTCACAGTCCCATTAAAAAAACAAAAACAAATTGTAGATCTAGATATTAGAAGATTAAATAAATCTTAATCATACTATATACACTTTGAACATGTTGCATCTTAATATTGATCTAAAAAA